CCCCAAAACCCCAAAACCCCAAAACCCCTTAGAAATATCCTTCTCTATGATTAGCGATTCTAAAAATATAATTGTCATTACCAAATAATATTAACTTATTAAAAGCATGTCATAGTAAGACTCATAAATTGAAGCTGAGACATCTACAGAGAAGTAGCTGCCTATAACCCTGAATGAAGAAGAACAAAAAGATGGAAAGTAGAATAGACAAAGAGATAACAGAGCTAACCGATAGAACAGAAATAACAACTAAGGTTAGCAACAAAAATATCAACCAAAGGGTAGCTAGCAAACTCAACAAAAGTATGTGGTCAAAAAGAAGAATCTAGAAGGGGAAGAGGACGAAAAAGCTGAAGATAATAAAAATGCAGATTAGACCTAGGAAAACGGAGAGGATTAGGAGGCTGCAAATAAAAAGAATCAAAGACAAAAATCTCAAAAGAGACAGTAGAAATTGGTCTATAGAGTTAAAGGGTAGGATAATAATCAAGGTGAACATGAGTAAGAGGAAACTAAAGAACAGGAAAGGCCTTAGAAGAAATACTAGGAGAAAAGTAAAACAAGACTTCAACCTCAATACAGAGTAAAGGACCCTAATAGGAAGCCTGAAGAAGAAGCTGAAAATGAGGAAGAGGGAGATTAGGAGAATGGTAATTCGAATCCTGAACATCAAAAGAAAAAGTATCAAAGAAAAGGTCAAAGTTAACAAGATGATAAAAATGATACCGAAGGCAATAACAAAAATAGAAAGAGAAGGGACGATAGAAGAGAACAGAAAGAACAGAGACCATTTACTGCCTACGAGGAATATATGTACGGTGACTGGAGAAAGCCAAGACCTCGTATATTTGTTACTATTGAAACAGAGATTCCCGAAATGCCTAAAGATATCATTGAGACTCCTGACGAGCCAGCTTATCACAAAGGATAACTAGAGTTAGATGAAAAAATTGATGCTCTTAATGAGAAGATTAGAGATTTCGCAGAAAAATTCAGCGACAAGTTAGGATAAATGAAGGCAGATTAATCAGGTAAAGGAGTTATTTCAAAGGAATTCAGAGATTTAATTGACCAATTCAAGACAAAATCAGCAGAAAAGAAAAGGATTTATGATGAAGTAAATGCCATCAATGTAGAAATCGGAGACTTGGAAGCTAAAAAGACCAAGGCTGAGAAGAAATTGCATCCAAAATATAACAGACTTGATACTCTTGCTAAAGGAATAACGTAAGTATTGCTTATTATTGCTAAAATTAAATATAGTGAAATTGAGAAAACTCTCTCTACTACTACCAATGATGCCAAGTAAGAAAAGGAATACATCAGAGAAATGCAAATAATTAAGGATTCAAAACCTTTTATTGAGGAGATTAATGGGCTTAGAGACCTCATTTACGAGAAAAAATCTCTTAAATACAAAACTGGCCTGGGCTTGACTGAACTCAAGGAAGAGTGCAAGCAGCTTAAATTGAGCATGGATAAATTGAAAAAAACCCAAGACGATAAGCAAAACTTTAAGGAAGATATTTAAAAGCAATTGGATTCAATAAATGCAAATAGAACCAAACTCATTGGAGAAATCAAGGAACTAAGAGCGGTGAAGGACCAAAGAAGGGAAGAATACTACAAGAAATTGATAGAATACGAGAAGTAGTAAATCATAATTAAGGAAATAGAATGGATAGCTATGATCAAGGCCAGAGTAGAAGATCGTGAAGAGCAAAAAAGATAATGGGAAGAGGAGAAGCTTAAACGCCAAGAGGAGCGTAAATAGAGGATTGAGGATCAAATCAGAAGAGAGGAAAACAGAAAGAAGCGTGAAGAGGAATCGAGGAAGTCAGAAGAGGATAAATAGAAAAAGTGGGAGGAGCATATGCTTTCAAAGCTCGATATCCACCCATACATCTCTGAAATCGATCTCTGTGACTATCTCATTAAGTATTGTGAGAAAAACATGAAAAGACCTGGTGAGGATATGACAATCCGTCAATTATCAGAACTAGAGAAATCCTTACACACTGATGAATTGAGGAAAAAGACCATTCAAGATGCTCTATAGAAGGGCAAACTCATGAAAGCTGAAACTAAGGAGGAAAGACAGCAAAAAGATATGGTTGCAGTTCAACAAAAGAAAAAATCATAAGTGATAAACTAAGCTAGGGCTCCTGTGAAGCAAGAAGAGGAAGATTAACTGAACCTTGACCTTTTAATGATTTAAAAGTTCTCTTAAATCAAAGTTTCAGCTCCAATGAAGAAAGAAGACCTCGAGCACACTCTTAGTGAATTAAAGGAAATGAAGCAAGCTTTCATTGAGAAAGGAGATTAAGAGAGAGCAGAAAATAAAAAGAAATTTGTCAGAGAGCAAAAGAGAGGCAGAAATGATTAGAAAACTCAAGAAGAGGAGGAGAAGACTAAAGAGGGAGAGGAACTTCCAGAGTTAAGCAAGTCACTGGCTGAGAAGATGAAAATCGTTGAGCAGATTGGACTTATGAAGAAAAAGAAGTTTAGTCAAAATTAGTATGATGATGAAGGTATTGATGTAGATACATTTGAAGCGAATTATGTTCCAGAATATGAAGATGAAGATGCTGATAGAAGAAGAGATAGTTATCAAGGCAGAGGCGGAAGAGGATAGAGAGGTGGTCAAAGAGGCGGTAGAGGCCAGAGAGGTGGCAGAGGAGGCTACAGAGAGGGTCAAGGTAATAGAGGAGGCTATAGAAATGATAGAAATGACAGAAACGATAGAGGAGACTACAGAGGTAGGGATGAGAGAAGAGATAGAAATTATGAAGAACCAGAAGGGGAAGGCGAATGGGAAAATCAATATGGAGAAAAAGTTGAAAGCAAAGTAGCAAAAGTTGTTGTGAAGAAATTCCAGGAAGTGTTAACCAAGCAAGAAGAATGGCCTGAGATTTGAATAAGATTAATTTGTTGTTTCTATTTATCATCATAAAATCTATCTGATTTTAAATAAATAAAACGATTCCCAAACTATTTTTAAGATCATATATAATGGGGTTTTGGGGTTTTGGGGTTTTGGGGTTTTGGGG